GTAACGATAACGACATCGTTGTTACGAAGTTAGAGAATAGGCCTATTATGGAAATACAATAACGATAGTAATTAAAAAAAGTATTGTAAGATTAAACACAAGAGAGCCGTTTAATTTGCAAGGTTAAAATTCTTGTAGAATATTGTTGTATATCATATTACTTACGCATATTTATATGTAGTTGGATTCATCATTGCCAATTGCATGCGTCTTTTTGTAACATCCAATGGATAAGAGAAAGTATGCGCTACAGCACCGGCCGCGCCTCCACATAAAAGTTTTGCTGGTATATTTAATATAAGACTATCTGCAACAATGAAATATAATATTATTATGATTACCTTTATTATTTATCGTTAATAACGCCGATTCTTTTATCTTAATGCGTTGTTAATGCTTTAAATCTGTGATTGGCAAATTTTTTGAAAAGAGAACATAGCTTTAAGTTAAATAGGCCCAATAAAAGAAATAAAAAATGACATAAATTACATTTTTTTTCTAAAAGAATTTTAGTTCAGAAAGCAATTTTGCAACTTAATTATGCCATAATTATCCGATTGAATAAGAGAGAAGTGGGGGATACATATGTTCATAAATAGAAGGACATCATAATTGTAATCATTCTATCATTACATTTTTGTTAGATTCAGGAAATAATGTATACATAGGAAGCATAGACCACTGAGCGAGCCAAACATATAATAACATAACAAAAGAGACGGTGCATCTAACAAACTATGTTTTTTTCTTTCTATATCCGAAATCTAAAGTTTCTATACACCCATTAGAAAATATAAAATGAGCAATCTAACTCACCAGTTGTTTTATATTCAGAACAAAGATACTGTGGTGCGTATTTCAAGCATAGGTATTTTAATTTCTCAAACGTATAGAAGGAAAATCCTGCATAGGGTATCATGCCCAACATATTTGGCCAGAATCCTCTATATAATGCTCGTAGGCCACCTTCCTGAAATATTATCTTTCCATTAACTTCATTAACTTGTACTGATACAAGAAAAATCCAAATTGTGGAAAGTTATCAAAATTTTTTCATGTAAGAATATTTGGATTTCATAAGATTGAATCTTTTTGTATTATCAATATATACATGATTCATTTGTCTATATGTGTTTAATGTAGGTTTAAAGTCTGATCTCATTCCCGTATTCAAAATTTACTTTGACAGTTATCATAATTTATAACATAACTGAATATAATTATTGCAATTCTGTTATTATTGTAGTACAAAGGCACAAATACAGTTTTTATAGGATAGATAAATACGTATTAAATACGTCTTTTGAAGACAGAAATAAATCATCTGTATCATTTATATATA